AGCAGCGCTACCGCCGCGGGTTCGGATCCTATATAGGGATGGCCTATGCGCTAACTGGCTGAGCGCGGTGCGGCTGGTCACAAAAAAAGACAAAAAAAAAAAAAAAAAAAAAAAATTTGTGATGGGAGGTTTTGAAAGTCTTACTGAAGGAGTCACTGTTGATATTATTTGTATTTCCTCTTCTATACTCCAATATTAAGTAAGAATTCTACCCCTTGATTTTTTTTTCTCTTTTAAACTAGCTTCTATTTCATAAAGTGGTTGAGATTATTGAAAGTATGCCAAAAGACTGCTGTTTTTTTGTTGTTGTTTTGAAATGGCAAACAGTTGTAACACCATGCAATCCATGTAGATTTGTATCCCTCCCATTTTTAGTGAATAATTTGTATTTACATTGTGTTATTAAGTTTTATGTTTATTTTGGTGAGTATATTAGTGAACGTTCATCTTCCGTACCTGGATTGGACAGTAGAGAAAGAATATGAAAAGTAAGTATCTATGTGCATTTGGTACCTTAATTTGTCAGTATTCTTAAAAAATACCTAATAAATAATTTAAATTTACTGTAAAAAACAGATTTGGAGTGGCCAGTCCGTGTCCCACTTGGGAGAGCGTGGTGCTGACAACACCAAGTCAAGGGTTAAGATCCCCTTGCCCGTCATCTTTAAAAAAAAATAAGATAAAATAAAATAACAGATTTGGTACCTTTTGTAAGAAAAGTATAAAATAATAAACTTATTGTAAAAAAGATTTTTCTAAGTAGTCATTAATACTAATAGATAAAGAATATCTAAAATACCTTTTATAATGTCGATTTCATTGTGTTTTTTTTCTTCCAAAGTGAGATTGAGAGGCTGTCTAATGAAACATCAAATTATTTAAATGTCACCAGTTTGGAGATGACTATGGTATTGTGTATCTTGTTTATTTCCTTAATACTCAATGTATTAGAGCAGTATTTCTCAAACTCTAATGTGCATGTGAGTCACCTGGAGATATTGCTAATATGCAGATTTTTTTTTTCCTTTTTTTATCTTTTTTCGTGACCAGTAATGGGATCGCAACCCTTGGTGTCGTGCCTGTACCGCGACCGGCAACGGGATCGCAACCCTCGGTGTCGCGCCCGCACTGTGCTCAACCAGTGAGTGGACCAGTCTCTATATGGGATCCGAACCCTCGGCGGGAGCGCTGCCACGCTCTCAAGGCCGCACTCCACCGAGTGCGCCACCGGGCCGGCCCAGATTTTTGAGTCAGTGGATCTGGGGTGAGGTCTGATATCCTGTAATTTTAACAAGTGATGCTGGTGTGTTCCATGGGCCACATTTTGGATAGCAAAGCAGTAGAGGGTCAAGATTATTGTGGGCTGGGAGAATATAATGAGAATAAGTAAAGTTTTGTTCTTGTCTCTACTGAGCTTTAGTACTATTCCTTACTTTTCCCCTCAACCTTCTGTTCCAACTTTCCCTCATCCATTTCTACTAGTATTTGCTCCTTGAAATGGTCTTATAACTATGCTCCAAAGGCCTTTGGGTGGTGCTTTCACTTGTCATTCTTTTCTACCTTGGACTTGGTTAAGAACTTTTGTGTTAAGCTGTAATGTTAGCTGTAAATTTCTGTTTATTCACACTTATGGCCCTTGCATAGTAATATTTCCACATTCTTAGAGTAAGGATTACTGAGTCTACATGTATAAAACATTATGATAATGAGAAATATTTTAATGGACAAATCCTAACAAAGTGTTGTCTCACTGTGTGTCTTATTGTATCAAGATAGAACTTCAGAATTATGAGCAATAATTTTATTACATGAATAAAGACTTATAGATACTGTTCTAAGGAAAAGATTTTTGATTCCTTTTATTTTGAAATATTTTTAGTACTTATAAATCCTAGATTATTGTATATTGTCATCATCCAATCTCATTACAGAAGCATGTCAGAGATTTGACCCTTGGAAAACTATTCTTAGCTCCTCTGCCAGTGACAGTAGCAACTCATGGGAGAACTTACCGATTTGTACTCTCTGGGGAGAAAGACAAAGATAAATTAGTAAAGTTTGAATTATAGATTTTAAGAAAATTGTTACTTTTTCAATTTTTTATTTTGAAATAATTTAAGATTTACAGAAAAGTTGCAAAAATAGCAAGTTCCCTTATACCCTTTACTGAGCTACCCTCAATGTTAACATCTTATGTAACCATAGTACAAAGACAGAACCAGGAAATTAACACTGATAAAATACTATTAACTAAATTACGGACTTTATTCAAATTTCACCAGTTTTCCCACTATTGTCCTTTTTCTGGTCCAGGATACAATCTATAATTCCACACTGCATGTAGTTGTCATGTCTTAGTTTCCCTTAATCTGTGACAGTTCTCAGTCTTTTATGACCTTGACACTTTTGAAAAGTACTGATCAGTTGTTTTGTAGAATATCTCTCAATATGGGTTTAACTAATGTTTTCTCATTATTAGATTGAGATTGTGCACTTTTGGCAGGAATATCACAAAGTTATGTGCCATTTTCAATATCAGGAGGTACATAGTGTTGATATATTTCATATTGGTAATGTTAACTTGGTCTATATGGTGTCTGCTGGGTTTCTCCATTGTAAATTTACTATTTTTCTCATTGTAATTAACGTATAACATATGGAGAGATGCACTCAGGCTATGAAAATATCCTGTTTCTCATCATATGAGGGGTCTTCAAAAAGTTCATGGAAAGATTTGCATTATCTTTTTTTTTTTTTTGGCAGCTGGCTGGTATGGGGTTCAGAACCCTTGGCCATGGTGTTATCAGCACCATGCTCTAACCCAGTGAGCTAACCAGCCAGCCTGCTGTATCTTTTAATTCTATTTTGCCATGAACTTTTTTTTTTTTTTAAAAGATGACCGGTAAGGGGATCTCAACCCTTGACTTGGTGTTGTCAGCACCACACTCAGCCAGTGAGCTAACCGGCCATCCCTATATAGGATCCGAACCCGTGGCCTTGGTGTTATCAGCACCGCACTCTACCGAGTGAGCCACGGGCTGGCCTTGCCATGAACTTTTTGAAGTACCCTAGTACTTTCACCTGCTAATTTTAGCTATAATCCATTGATGGTTCTTGCCTGCAACAATTGCTGTTTGCCTAATGGTGATTATTTTCTTCATTCCTTCTGCATTTATTATTTGAAATTCTTCTGTTAAGAAGAGATGTCCCTTCACCATTTATTTATTTGTCCAATAATTTATTTGTGTCAATATAGACTCATGTATATTTAAGAAAATTGTTATTTTTTTTTTTTAAAAGATGACCGGTAAGGGGATCTTAACCCTTGACTTGGTGTTGTCAGCACCACGCTCAGCCAGTGAGCGAACCGGCCATCCCTATATGGGATCCGAACCCGGGGCCTTGGTGTTATCAGCACCGCACTCTCCCGAGTGAGCCACGGGCTTTTTTAAAAGATGACCGGTAAGGGGATCTTAACCCTTGACTTGGTGTTGTCAGCACCACGCTCAGCCAGTGAGCGAACCGGCCATCCCTATATGGGATCCGAACCCGGGGCCTTGGTGTTATCAGCACCGCACTCTCCCGAGTGAGCCACGGGCCGGCCCCGAAAATTGTTATTTTTAAGTAATAGGAAGAATATAATATAGAAGTTAAGAGTGCAGGCTCCAGAATTAGCCAGGCTGGATTTGATTCTGCTGTGTACTAGCTGTATGACTCCTAGCTAGTAAACCACACCTCAGTTTCCTCATTTATAAATGAAGAAAATAACACCCACTTCAGTTTGGTGTGAGAATTAAATGAGATAATAGATATAGTCTTTAGCCTAGCTTTAATTAATTTTTCTTAGCAATTTTTCTATACTGTGCTTAGTTTTATTGTTTATAAGTTCCCCTTCTACAAACTGAATATAAAAACTTCTCATGTGCTTGCCTCCCTGAGTAATTATTGAAATTTATAAAATGAATCTTAAAATACTTTGTAATGTTAAAGAGATACACAATAAGTAATTATTTCTTAGAAAAAAAGATCAAACTAGGTTATTGCTAAGATGCCCTTTATGATTATGATTCGGTTCTTGGGCTGCTCTTGGTGTTAGATATGGAGATGAACATAAATGTGATTAAATTATTTTTAGCATGTTAGGTAATGTTTCAAGAGAACAGGTAAGCCATATGAAGTACCAGAAAATTCATATTCTTATAACTCCTTAAATTTCATTAGTGGTATAGGAGTCTTAAGTATATATTTTTTTTAATAAGAGCTTTATTGAGATATAATTCACATACCATAAAATTTGCCCAATTTATACAATTCAGTGGTACTTAGGATATTCAGAGAGTTGTGCAACCATCACCATGATATAATCTCAGAACATTTTCATCTTCCAAAAAGAAACTGTACTGGTTAGCCATCAGTTCCCATCCTTCAACTGCAACCTCCTGTCAGCCCCTGGAAAACATCAATCTTTCTATTTCTGTGGATTTTCCTATTCTGGACATTTCATATAAATGGAATCATATCATATATGTTCTTTTGTGCCTGGCTTCTTTCACTTAGCATAATGTTTTCAAGGTTCATTATGTTGTAGCACACTTCAGAACTTCATTCCTTCTTAAAGCTGAATAATATTCCATGGCATGGGTATACGTTTTGTTTGTGCATTCATCTGTTGACAAACATTTGGGTTATTTTTACCTTCTATTATGAATAATGCTACCATGAATATTCGCATATAATGTGGACATATGTTTTTTGTGTGGACATATGTTTTCAATTCTTTTGGGAGTAGAATTGCTGGATCATATGCGGATACTTCACAAAATTCATGGAAAGATTCATATTATCTTTTAATTCTATTTTTCCAGAAAATTTGTGATACTCTTGCATGGTAACTCTATTTTTTAACTTTTTGCCAAACTTTTCCAAAGTGTGACCATACCATTTAACATTCCCACCAGCAATGTATAAGGGTTCCAATTTCTCCACATCCTTGACAACACTTGTTATCATCCGTCCTTTTTATTATTATTATTAGTTTGATCACAGCCGTCTTAATGGGTTATGGTGGAGTTTTTATAGCAAAGTAAACCCAATGTGAAGGGAGTGCCCTGTTAGCATCACAGTAACAGTTAAAATAATCTGGGCAAGCATATTCTCTAACCAACTACAGGACCCAATCAATCACAGGCGGTATAAAAGGGGATAATACTAATAATACTGCCCTATTCCTACTGCCTGTGTGGCCCTCCTTTACAGTTAAGGGCAGTGGTTCTTGAAATGTGGTCCCTAGAGCTGCAGCATCAGCATCACCTGGGAACCAGCTGGAAAGGCAAATTCTAGACCAGACCCAGCTCTCTGTGTTTCCAGGTGATGCTGATGCTGCTCAAGTTCAGGGAATGGCAGAGTCCACTACAAAGCAGCTTTGCCTCTGAACATCAGCACGAACCCCCGTATTAGTGATAATATGCAGCAAACCCATCACCCCTACAAATGAGATGAGAATGCCACAGGAAAGGATTTTAGAAAGAGCCAATCATGCAAACTCAAGTAGAAGGACTTCACACTTTCCTGTAATGAGTGATTACCATTGATGTAAAATGTCCACAATTAATTTTGGGCACAGAAAACCCAGCTGGAAGGTAAACAGGAATTTCACAGGCACCATCGAAGTCAGTAACATAGATATAATTTCCCTAAAATTTGCTGTTCTAAGTATTCCTATCCATTCAAAATTTCAAAGAGCATGCTATCATAGTTACCCTTTAGCTCCCTGGAAAGAGGATGGCACAGGAGCTTCATAGAACAATCATTTGAAACAGTAAAGATGACCCCACTACTACCAGGTCAAAGACAAATACTCTGGAGACCCTGTATGTTCAGTACCATTTTAAAAATCAGGGAAAATAATGTTCTTTGAAGAACTACTGTATGTTTCTTTCATATACTGCCATTTAAAAATCTCTATATACATTTTTTTACAAGCTTATACATTCAGTCATTAGGTAGGTGAAGCCTCTTTGTGGCTACATTTTTGTTACTTCCTTAGAATCCTGGTTAGATTCACTGCTCCTCTGCATCTTCACCAGGAAGCCATCGGCGGTAAGATGGCAAAGCAAGATTTCAATCAGGCTGGGTTTGCTCTTGCAGAGCAACTCCCACTCAGGTTGTCAGGAGAGCAGAACACACTCGAATGTGCACGAGGATGGAGAGAAAGATCCACATGGCTAAACAGCAAGAAGCAATGAAACACGGAACTCAAGCAAAAAACTCCATCAGAGTAGGGATGCTTAAATCCCATCCTTCAACAATAGGACTTTTTTATAGCATTTCTCTTGTCTGAGACATCACAGTATCTTGGAGTGAATTCAAAACCTTTTGGTAAGTGTCCAGGATATCCTGAGCAGTGGGTCTTTCTGCAGGAGTCTGGCTCTTACATGCCTTGTGAATATCAAACAAATGGAATCGGACCATATCACTCCCTTCTACGTGCCCCAAAAGGAAACTGGAGACATCTGGAATCTTCCAGATGTCAACCTTCTCGTCATACGAGGGCATGATGTCATCATGAAAAGGCCTGTCCTCTCCATGGGGCCACAACTGCTCTGGAGCCACAAAATCTCCACGCAGCTCCCTGTGGCCGCACTTCACAAACGCCTTGGAGCTGTGATTCACCACCGGCAAGGCGTCCAAGTCGTTGGCCACGATGCTGAAGTTGCTCGTCAGCAGGTACTGAGACAGTGTCTTGGGCAGGTCGTTGGAGTCACACATGACCAGTGTGCCCAGCGGGCTGTGGTGCAGGTAGTTAATGATGCCGACGTAGCCAATGGCCAGCTGTAGCCTGTGCTGCCACGTGTTCATATGTCGGTACTTTGAAAGGTTTAGAGCTTCTTCCAGGTTGCTCAAGGAACCTAAGGGGTGATATTCAGTAAGAATAGTGTTGTCGTCCTCACAGTAGCCAAGCAGCGTGACAACATATTTGCTTTGCAGAGATTTCAGCATCTGCAGTCCATGAAGGAAATCATCTTTCATCTCCAGACTGGTGAGCCGTGAGAGAGCAACCTTGCGTTCCTTCCACTCAGACAGAAAGACCCTCTTCACGGCTCCTTCCCCGACGCGCTTCAGCGGCCTCACTTCTGCTCTCAGCGCCTCACAGGACAGCCACGGGGAGCAGGTTTCCATATGTCCCATTCTGAAGTGGCCATGGGGACAGTGCCTGGGATCCACAGGAGGCTGTCGCGGGGAAATGAAGAACCGATCAAGGCAAAGGTAGAGGAGCGCGTTGGTGAGAGCCACCGCGAGCAGCAGCCTGGCCGCGGGGGGGCCCTCCCTACGGCCGAGATCCTGCCTGCTCTCCTGGGGCTTCTTTTCCATGTTGCTATCCTCCACGATTTCCAGAGACAAGCACGACGTGAGGGTCAACTTTCAGGAGTGTGTTCCTTCTTCCTCCCAGCTCAGGTCTCCACCCAGATACCAGGGTCAGTGAGTGTGCTGGTGGACACCGGGGACTGGTCCGAAAACACTCTGACAGGTCTGCTCCACGTGGCCACGGCTGGCTGGACTAGGTCACCCCCTCTCTTCAAACGTGTATCACCTCTTCTCCCACCTTCACTCTCAGCTGCTGATCTTGCGCCTATTTTACCAGACTCACGACTTTCCATCTCCACCTGCTGACAGCTCCAATCCCAGCCTCTCCTCGGAACTCAAGGCTTGCTTCCTTGACGTCTCCATTTGTATGTACGATGGACAACTCGAAATAATACTTCCCCTTTCTCATAAAGATTCCAGGTCACATCCTTCTCTCCGGCCCATTCCCTCCGTCATCTCAGGGAGTTCGGCTGAAATTATGACTATTTTTAACACTCAGGCAGGCCTCAAGGTCTCTTGAGCTTCTTCCACCTGCGCCTGATTCTCAGAAGGGACTCAGGGCTTCTGCAACCGTTTCCTACGTGTTCTCCCACTTCTTTCTCTTTTGTAGTCCACTCTCCGCAGAGCAAATCAACTTTTCTTCCCTCCGGCTAGGAGAGGAGGCTGCCGCTGCCGCGGAGATAGCACCGCCCCCGCGTCCGCGCCGCGTCGCCCCGCCCCCCGGAGAGCGCGCGCAAGGACCCGGATGGAGGCGCGGGCGGGCGCCGCCGCGGCTGCCTCAAGGCTTTTTCATACTGAAGCGGTTCTTTTAGAAATGGCTCATTATTCACTTGATCAAGCATTTGATCAAGATCACTGTTTTAATTCACAAGAAAAATATTTAATCTTATAAAAATAAAATTCAATATATTTTACTTATAAATTTTTCCACTTGCAGCAAATGAAGTTTCTTTAATGTAGGACATTATTACTCAAGATTTTCCTCTTAAATAATAGTAATAAATAATAACAGCCACCTTTTACTGAGCTTCTACTATGTGCTGAGACCTTTCTAAGTACCTCAAGCAACCTTTGCAACGTTCCTTTGATGTGGGTATTATCTCCATATTACAGATTAAACTGAGGTTCAGAGAAGTTGAACTTTCCTGAGGAAAGCAAATTGAGAGAAGCATACTTTTTCAGTGGGCATTTTACCATGTTTCTTTGTATACATCCTTTTTGCACATTCCTGTTTTGGAAACTAGATGTCATTTCTTTAAGGATAGAGATTTTTTTTTTCCATTCTTTTCACCTTGTGTAGTGTCCTACACACAGAAGTTACCCAATAAATATTTAATATTGGTGATACTCATTACTGCGCAAACTGCTACAATGGCATGTTGAAAAATAGAGTTTTACACGGACAGAACAAAGAAATTGATAAATTTATGTAAGTGATTTGTGCCAAAAATTTCATTGAATGATATGTAATAAATTCTGAGAAAAATATGGAATTGCTTTCCAAATTCTCAGGTAAATTACCGGGACGTAGACTTGACCGTTCGGGTGCCCTTTTAACAAACAGCATGACATTTATTTTTTTCTGACTCTCTTCCAGCAGTGATTAAAAAGAGGATCAATTTTATGGAACTGCTGCTTAAGAATTTAGTTGAGAAGCATCAGCTTTTATAGTCATTAATTTGGCTTTGGAATTTTTCAGCACTTCGACAGAGGGCGCCCTTGGACCACCGAGAAGGTACCAATAACTCAAGCTCGGTAGCATGGGGCGCTGACACACCAAGTAATGGTTACACGAATGACGGAAAATGCATTGTTTTAGCCAAAATAGATTGCAAAACGCTTATTTAGTGTTGAGTTCAATCTGTTCATGACTTTAAATCTTATTGTATAAGATTTGTTGTGCGGGGGCAACACTGAAGGTTGCGATCTGTTGCCGGACACAGAAAAAGACAAAAAGGAAAAAAAAAAAAAATAATAATAAAAATAAAAATAAATAAAAAAATTTTAAAAAAAGATAATATTCCTTTGCTTTCTTCTGTGGGTTATTTAGTAACTTTATCTCAAGGCTTAAGATAGGAAAGAAGTAAAGAGAGTGATTGTCTAGTTCTTATGTGAATGTTTAATTTAATGCCACTACTTCAATTGAGTTAAGATGTCTAAATTCAATGAAGTCATTTTTCTGTATATACGGTTATTAGAAGAAAGTGTCTCGGGCCGGCCCGGTGGCGCACTGAAGAGTGTGCCGCTTAGGAGTGCAGCGGCGCTCCCCCGAGGGTTCGGATCCCATGTGGAGACTGGTTCCCGCTCACTGGCTGAGCGCGGTGCGGGCGCAACACTGAGGGTTGCGATCCCATTGCCGGTCGCCGGTACGGGCGAGACACTGAGGGTTGCGATCCCGTTACCGGTCAGTAAAAAAGACAAAAAGAAAAAAAAAAGAAGAAGAAAGTGTCTCAGTCACCCGTGTAGTAGACATCTAGTTCTCAAAACTGGTTACTAGAGGATTTGTGGAGGGTTTTCATTTATTCAACAAGCATTTGTTGAACACCTGTGCTAGCCATGGAAATGTTGAACATTGAACAAAACAGACAAAAATTCCTAACCTCGGGTCAGCCCTTGGCTCACTCGGGAGACTGTGGTGCTGATAACACCAAGGCCGCAGGTTCGGATCCCATGTAGGGATGGCCAGTTCGCAAGTGTGGTGCTGACAACACCAAGTCAAGGGTTACACCAAGTCAAGGGTTAAGATCCCCTTACCGGTCATCTTTAAAAAACAAAACAAACGGGCCGGCCCGTGGCTCACTCGGGAGAGTGCAGTGCTGATAACACCAAGGCTCCGGGTTCGGATCCCACATAGGGATGGCCGGTTCGCTCACTGGCTGAGCGTGGTGCTGACAACACCAAGTCAAGGGTTAAGATCCCCTTACCGGTCATCTTTTAAAAAAAAAAAACAAAAAAAAACAAAAAAAACTCTTATTTTTCTCCTTTATGAAGTTGGAAGGTGTGGGTAAGTTATTTTATAGACAGATTATAATATTGGGTTATTATATTAATTTTCTTTGTTATACATCCTTGAACTTCAAATAAGCAATGAATGGGTTTATTTAGTTATTGCACAATTGATTTCTATTAGACTTTTGTGTTTTTAGCTCTTAGAATGGAATTAAGCCATCATGTATATGTCCAGAAATATGATTTATTTATTTTTATTTTTATTTTTTTAAAAGATGACCGGTAAGGGGATCTTAACCCTTGACTTGGTGGTGTCAGCACCACACTCTCCTGAGTGAGCCATGGGCATGGCTCTCAGAAATATGATTTAAATTAAACCTTTAACAACTCTTAAATTTGAAAAAATATAATTGTGCAAGATTTTATTTATTCAGACCAATTTTTGTACACATTGTATTCAATGACTAAATTTGTCTGAATCCTTGACTATGAGAAAATGGGCTTCCAGTATCATCTAAAAATGTTATAATGATTATAACACCTTATTGAGCTCATGTACCTCAATTAAAGAATCAATAATCTTGAGAGTTGAAAGGGAAAGTAGAGATCATTTAGCTTGATGTAAAATATCTCTGGCAGAAAGTCATCCATCTGCTTGACTCTGTCCAAATAGGGGTAAACTCACTAATTCATGAGAAGCCTATTCCATTTTTGAAGAACTCAAATTATTGAAAATTTATTCCTTACATTAGAGCCAAAATTTATCCTTCTCCAATTTCTACCTTTTTGCCTCACTCCCCAAAACTATATGGAATAGATCTAAAGTATCATTCACATGAGTGGCAGCTCTCCTGTTCTGTCCAAGTAGTTTTTTTCTAGCTTTAAACATCCTAGTTTCCTTCAATATTCTTTACATTGACATGGTCCCTAAGACCTTTCTATCTAGTTAACTTGCTCTGTACTTAACTGAAGGTTATCAGTGTGTTTTTTAAAGCAATAGTTGTTAAATTTAGTGTGCTAGAAAAGACTCGTCTTGGGGGTACTTGTTAAAAATGGAGATTCCTGGGCCCTACCTGCAGAGATTCTGACAATAGATCTGAAATGGGGATCAGGAAGCTATACTTATTTATTTATTTTTTTAAGATGACCAGTAAGGGGATCTTAACCCTTGACTTGGTGTTGTCAGCACCATGCTCTCCCTAATGAGCTAACCGGCCATCCCTATATAGGGATCCGAACACCATGGCCTTGGTGTTATCAGCACCACACTGTCCCAAGTGAGCCACGGGCCGGCCCTAGGAAGCCATACTTTTTGATTAGTATCACTAGTGATTCTGATGCAAAAGTCTCTGAATCTCCCTTTGAAAATCATTGTTTTGAAATATAGTATTAACAGATCTCTGAATTCCTTAACTTAGAGCCTCCGTCATGGGGAGGGGGGAAGTGCACAAGCAAATGTGTAAAATGAACCCTATTAGGCAGATCAAGGTGAAACGAATGTCAGGGACCACTTGTTGGAGAGGGCATGCTGATCTTTGTAGCTCAGTGATAGGGCCAGTCTTGGGGGACTGGTTCTCTGGGTGGAAATGAGTGTGAGGGGAGTGGTGGTTGGAAAAAAAAAATAGAGTTGCAACAAGTAGTTAAGAAAACAACTATCTGCTTGAAAGGTAAAAAGAACTCTTGTAGGGCCAGCCTGTGGCTCACTTAGGAGAGCGTGGTGCTGACAACACCAAGTCAAGGGTTAAGAGCCCCTTATGGTCATCTTTAAAAAAAAAAAAAAGCACTCTTGTAAATAATCCTTGGGTTAAATGGTATATCAAAATTGAAATTAAAGGGCCGGCCTGGTGGCGCACTGCTACAGTGCGCCGCTTGGGAGCGCGGCGGCGCTCCCGCCGAGGGTTCGGATCCCACATACAGACCGGTTCCCGCTCACTGGCTGAGTGAGGTGCGGGTGCAGCACTGAGGGTTGCGATCCCGTTGCCGGTCCCGGTCCGGTACGGGCGCAACACTGAGGGTTGCGATCCGTTGCCGGACACGAAAAAAGACAAAAAAAAAAAAAAAAAAAAATTGAAATTAAAAAAAAAACTAAAAAAATTAAAAAAAAAAACCTAAAGAGAACAAAAAATGGTACCCAA